AAGTCGTCTCATCATCGTATTTAGGACATGAGAAAGCCGGTCTTTGTGTTCGATTAGCTTAGCCTTTGGAGATAAATCACTCGATGTGCTCTCCACAACCTTTATTATAGCACCGGGTCCATTTCAAAGTCATCCGCTATGCCATGCGATGACGGGTGTCCTGTCAAACTTATCATTTATTTGCCTTCTACTGTTCCCATCCGGAACTGTGAGGGCACTCGGTTTAGTGTGGGGCTGAGTCGGTATTTGTTTGCATTCTCGCTTAATCTGGTCATACAGACACGCACTCTTGATAGCCAAACAAGATGATTTCTGCTCTCCGTCGACTCCGTCTCGACAAGCGACTGGCTTCTGGCAAAGCAGGTCGAGTTGTGCCAGCTATCATTCTTCGCTCCCTCCTGCCCCCAGTTTCACCGCCGGCCATGCATTCCACTCCCCACCCCCAACCCCCCACCACACACACACACACACATGCATACACACATGCACGCATGCACACGAGAGTAACACATGTCAACAGGATGCTGCTAGTCTCCGAAGCAAAAGTGTAATGGATACTTTAGTCTAAAAGGACTTAAGACTCGGTTGGATATTGGGTCTTCAACTTGGCGGCCTGGTTGAACATCGTGGGCGTTAAGCTGACCGCGCTCTGGTTGATAAGGGTCAGTTAGAAAATGATCGCATATTGTCCTCTAGATCAGTGGTTACCAAACTATTCCTAGTCGCGGCGCCCTACCCTAAGTATGACTATTCGTAAGTAAGAGATAAAAATAAATATAACTCGTATATCTTCATTATTTTTTTTACTTTATTAACATTCAATTAATATTTAATAATTAATGTGATGGACGAGCCTGCAAATCACTGCACATTTTTTAAAATCGTGGAATTAAACTGAACACGGCCACCCGTGTTTCCACGTTGATTTTTGCTCTATACTTGCTTTTTATTACAGCAACTGCCGAAAACCCAGCTTCGCACAAATACGACGTCGAAAATGGAATTCGAGACCAAACTCTAAATAACTGACATCATATTTACGATATTTACGTTTCCTCACACTAGTGCCACTGGTTAAAGGCATACTTTCTTTATTTGCACTATTACGTTTATAACTGTTTAAAAATCGGTCCATTATCAAAGATAAAAGAGCCAAAAATCACAAAATTATTTATCAAAGCCAACAAGCAAGAAGTAATTTAACACTAACTAAATTACAATATGAACTCATTTACTAATTTATGTCACTGTTTATGTATATATGAAGCGCTGA